CTGTGTTAGCAAGAGCCATTTAACTTATTTTTCTGCAGCCAAACTGCATACATATAAAACTTCAATACCCTTGAAATCTCACGGGGCTTAAATAATCTCGCTGTTGATAGGTATCTAGCTGCAGGAGGATGACAAATCAAGCTATGAAATTCCTTTTTTTTTCTCTACTGAAGAGGTTTTGCTAGAAAAAGGATTCCCAAAAGCTTTCCTCCACTGAGATTTGAAAACATTTGAGCCTTGTATTTGTCATTTGTCCAAATTAAAAACGCTAATATATCTAAGCCGAGGTAAAGGTGGGTTTCTTCTGCTACTTTTTATTTTACCTTCATTTTATCAAGTATATTGTCAACTTTTTCACAAAGCAGGAAAAGTGATGTCCTTTAGAGTTGTGTCCCCCTGTTCGAGAAATATGAAGAAAAATATCCTTGTATACCTGTTTAGCTAGCGAGGTGATGCAGGCAGTAAAAAAAAAATCATGAGGAGCACTTTATGGACTGAGGACACACCCTGATAAATATTACTTCTAGACATAGACAAGATGGGAAGGAGAGAAGTTTAAAAGGAATATTGTGAAGTTTAAATGGAATATTGTGTTTTTCAGAATGTTTTGAAGGTATTTGAAAATATATGAAGGTATTTAAGGCTAGATAGTTTTCGTAAAGAGACGATCTAACGATCACACGTAAAGTGAAGATCTCACTACCATTCGGCTTCGTGGACATTCTGTATGTGTACGCCCATCTCTCTTACAGTTGCATTTAGCTACTGCTTTGGTATCAGGGCTTGAGAACCAAGTATACTGATGGAGTACACTACTTCCTGGGCACTTCAGTTATTCCACATAAAAAAGGTGGCTTTAAAGGAAATACCAAATCTTCTCCTGAAATTACAGGAGAGCATCCAGCACCGCATGGTAAAAAGACCGCCTGTGTTACCCAGTTCGTCCAGGGGCAGAGCCCGTGTCACTGATTGTAAGTACGTGAATGTCAGAAGGCAATTGCAGACACCGAGGTCTTTCTCCCTTTTCTCTGTGGAGGTGATGATGTTGAGGGAGGTGGCCAAGGGGGACAGGAGGTTGTCAGAAATAGGGCTGCAAGTATTGCAGCTCCCCTAGTCTGGGACTAACTTTTAGACCCAAGCGTGATCGGGTGTGTCACGCAACCTCAGCAAAGAGGCGACGGACGGCACCCTGCGAGGGCTCTGCACCCCTTCCCACCGGGGCGGCGGCTGACTGACTGACTTGCTCTCTTCCTTGGGTTCCAAAAAAATAAAAGCAGGTTAAGCTTTAGTTCGGAAAGAACAATTAGTTCCCCAAAATAGTTGTAATTTTACATTTATAATGGCAATTTTAGGTTTTCACTCTTTAGAAGGAAAATATATTCCTGCCTCTCTTGTATTCTGCCATTTACAAAGCAGGATGATATACAAAGATGATTTATATATGATATACTCCTCCACTGCAGCTTCTTTCCAGCCTGTGAAATGTTTTTTTTATTAGGAAGTATATGGAGGGTGCCACTACACTGCGTATCCTGCTGCTTTGAGAAAGTGTGCCCACCCACCTGCTTTCTTGCAACTCCACAGGAGAAAGATAAGTTGTGAAAAAGACAACAGTGAACTCCATGCAAGTACAGGCTGACAAACATTTTTATAACCCTGTCATATTGGGGCTACCCTAAGGAAAAATAAGCTTGAAAGTAATTCCCTGACTTCTTTGGATTCTCCAGTTCCCTGAAATGCAATGCATAAACCAGAGGTTTGTACTTTGCTTTTAGACAGTCATAGCATCATGGAGAAATCGTGAGTGTCAGTTGCACTGTGGACAACTCCACATCCATCTGTGTCTTTTAAATTATACTCGTGTCTCTTCCCTTACTGCCGGTTTTGGTCTGTCTCCATTTTTCTCATATGGGTCTGGCCTGGTTGCCAAAGGGCCAGACAGAATTGTTATGTTGACTTTGCTAAGACTTCTTCTGACACCTGTAATTCTAGCATTTATTCCCGGCTGGGGAGCACGGTAGTGAGGCCTGACACAAATGCCAAAGTATGACAAGGGCACTCAGTGCAAGAACCACGGTACTGACAGCTTACACACAACTGAAAAAGACTTCTGTTCCGATGTCTCAAAGGGACCAGACAACCAGGATCTGATTTTGAAATAAGACAGTTCTTTCTCGCAACCTTTAAAATACATTAGATTTCTGTGCATGTTAGGAAGTCCTTGCTACTGAAAAAAACCTGTAAATAAATCTGGTTGCAAGGAATCAAATTCTCAGTCTGTCTGCTCAAGCTGAAGCCAAACATACACACTAACCCCAATGGCCAATTCTTGCCGTTTTACCACAAGCCTGACATAGAATTTCACATACCTGCACTATTGGAAAAACATCATTATGTGAGGTCATCATCTTTTCCTTCCCAGGAAGTTTCTAGTCCCGACAGATTCCTTCTTCAGTGCAAAAAAGGCTCTAAAGCAAGACAAAAGTAATCCTAACAGCTGGCCTCTTTGCTGTACCTATACCATTTACTATAATAAATGATTTTTACATCTTGCTTTAGGAAGTACTACTTTCTCCAGCAGTGAAACCCACTGAAAATAAGCCACAGCTGGATTAATAAGAAAGCAAAGCTGGGACACAGAAGAAAACCTAGTCTGTCAGTTCTGTTATTGACACAGAGGTTTACAATGGCTTTCAGGCAGCTTGATATAGTACAAGCTCATAAAAGAGGGGCAAAAATAGTATTACATTTTCTAGTTTAAACTGTGTATTTTTATATAGTCTTGCTTTGTAAAAGGTGAAGAACAATTACATTTTTATCAAAGTATAGTATGGGCTTAAGGCTAGTCATTTTAGTATTAGATTATAAACTTATATAGCTTGCAGTATTTCTGACGTGCTCTGACAACTGCGCTCCGTCCTGCATTCATGACAAAACTCTTGCAGAGATGGTTTTCAATAACCACCATGGTATGACACGTGCTTATACCAAGTGGACATAAGCAGTGGCAGGTAAACGTGGCATGTAATGCTATCAGTCAGTACTGCAGCAGGCTGCAATGAAACAACGAAGGCATCAGTTTGGTTTTTTTTTTTTTACTAGGTTATAAATCAGTTCAGTTGGTTTGAAAATTTCTTCTGAAACACAAGTTTTGGCAAGTGTAATGCTAAGAATTGGGAAGGACCATAAGCGTAGGTCAAAAGGTGTTATTGACTCTACTGTTTTCAAGAAAATAACATGAAGAACAACGGGAGTCAGTTGCTTTCATTATTTAAAGACACCTTTCGAGATGGACATTAATGATGTCAGTAACTGTGTAAAAAAATAAAAGTTTATCAAAGTTACTTCATGGTGATGATATAAAGTACCACACCAATTTCTCTTACTTACAATAAGCAGCCCCCAACATGGACGCCCATTGCTTGACTATGCGTAAAATTGTGGGCTTGTTAGTCTTGACAAACATCCATTGCGGGATGAAAGCAAGCAGACAAATTTATAACTGCTGAAACTAACAGAGATTAAATCACTTTGGTCAATCTCAACTGATGGTCGAAGTTTTTGGCCTGCACAGTAGAAGTCAGTTATACTGTACACAGTGCAGAAACTCCAAAATGCCTTGCAGTTTAACACAGACCGATGCCGGCGGCTGTTGCGCTGCAACGCGTGGTTACTCTGCTCACTTAACTGGGATGAAGGTGTGATTCCTCTGTGTTGAATACTTTCAAACAATATGTGCGTCTGACTGAAGTCAAGGTTGTAGTGATTAATATAAAGCAAAGTTATACCAAAATCTAACAGAACATTATGTTTTAGTTATTACAATTATGCAAGTGAGATTACTGGGAGACAGATGTACAGGACACCTAATGTCCAGTAAAGTATTACTAAAGGTGTATATACGATATTTGTGGCATTGTCTGAGGCAATATTGTATGAACCTTAGAACAGTCCAAGTGTACCATTAAACAAACTCATAATAAGGGCTGGTAACTAAACATCAGTGTACACTTAATGTAGGGATCATCCACTAGTGAACTAAAAAGCTCATAACATATGATAGGCAACTAAAGAAAAATGCATTAGGTGGTGTTTAAGAAAGTGGTTAAATGTAAGAAGCCAAGGCTTGAAATTTTTTGGTTGGGGCTGCTTGACAGATCAGCACGACTGAATCAGATTATGAATACACAGGGTTATGCTTGCTACCTGCCATATTGTACTAAGGAAGAAACCCAGGTGAGAAATTTGGCCACGAGTCAAGCTTTTGAGCTTGGGTAAACCTGTATGAATCTGACTCCCAGAAGACTTAGATTAGTTAAGTTAATGGAAATACTGTGTGCGGTGCTGAGCAGCTAAACATTGCAGACCAGCATGGCAAATGGTGGATGGAACAAACAATACTGCTGTTCTGTGTGCTGTTAACTTATGTAAAAGAAATTTTTGACAACGAGGGTGGTGAAACACTGGCACAGCTTGCCCAGAGAGGTGGTAGATGCCCCATCCCTGGAAACATTCAAGGTGAATGAATTTCATCTAGTGAAAGATGCCCCTGCTCACTGCAGGGGGGGCTGGACTAGATGATGTTTAAAGGTCCCTTCCAACCCAAACTATTCTACGATTCAATTCTATTCTATGATTTAGAAAATACCAATAATGAAGTCTTTATCTTCAGTCATCTGCCATGGGTGTGTCTCTACACAATTCATATCTTTACATGCTTTTGGGCTAGATCTCCTTTGCATCACTAACATACATTCTTATTTTACCTTCTTATCTACAAAAAGCATCCAGAAAGAAAACGGTGAGTTTGTCTACACTTAAAATACCACTTTCTTTATTGCACTGCCAGTGGGAAATCCAAGCAAAAGGAAGACAAAAAAACCCCTCCCCATCCAAACCCAAAATCTTGGAAGACTCGGTTTTTGGGTGTGCTGAAATATTATCCAGCATTAAGCTGTTTACTATGAGCCATTATTTTCCTATGTCAAAAGTATTTGCCATAAGTGATGGCTCTACTATATTTCATTGGCTCCACTTAAATCCTGTACCTGTTATTATGAAAGACCTTAATGGAGGCCCTGAGAGTCTACTACCTGTAACACAACCTTAAAGTTGCAAGATACAACCAAGAACGGCAAATAATTCATGTGTACATTGGCTACACCAGTATCATCCAATACTCAATGAGATGAGGCAGCAACTGTGATCATTGGCTATCTGTTGTCTTCTATGACAATGGTTCTTCTAGGATAGGTGTCAACGTCCACAAATATGTAGCGGACCTCAAATCTTCCTCTCTCAGGATTCTGTAAGGAAAAGAATTTCAGGCTGTTTTTTTTTTTCCCTTTTTGGTAGTTTAAATTCAAGATTAAGCTTGTCAGCTATATCAAGCAATTGTACATACCTCTTTGACTTCCACATGGACTGTTCCCCGCTTCCCTGGTTCAGAGCCCTCAATATAGAACTTCAAACGCATATGTTTCAGTCCATCCTTAACGTATTCAATGTGACTAAAAACGGCAAAACAAAACAAAAACCCAAACCACCCAGCAAGGATACACATTATAAGCTAAACTTCAAATTTAAACTATTTTGGGAGAAAATTTATTCCAATGCAGTCCTTATGCTACCATGGGCTTTTTCTCTACTGTTCTTGCCAAGATTTACTGTAAGCATATAAGCACTAGCAGAGTTAGAAGAACTAATCAAAAGTTGAGGATTAACAGATGAATCGCTTAAATGCCCTCACCCCAGTCGTCCCCGCAAAACTAAATGGCAATCCAATAGCTAAAGATTCTGGAATTTCCTTGTATTTATTCTAAAGAACCCCCAGATTCAGAGCCTGACATCTAGGAATGAACACCCACATCACCAAGACTGCCAGGGCTGGTTTTTTTTTTAATGCACTTAAACTAAGTTACCAAGCCAAAAGACACAAAGAATGTTTTGTCAACTTAATTATCAGGTTGGGTAAATCACATCAAAACAAACAATTCACTACACACTTATTTTTTAAGAATTAGTTCTGTTGTCTCCCTCAAAATGAGAATAATAAATAGACACACTCATGAAAGGTTTAAGTGAGAGATGTTCTGTTAAATATGCAGTAGAGACGTGGCCTCAAGTACCAAAAAGCAATACAAGAAATGGGGAGACAATAGTGCATATCAGCTCGGGACAATATAGTCACTGCAGTGACTACAACCTGTACAGTCAGACCCAGCCTAGCTTTTAAAACAGAGCAAGCTGGATTCTTGAAAGTCTGAAAGTTAGTTCCTCCTGCTCTTTCTGGCCTGATAAAAACTACTGCTTCAAACGGAGAAAAAGCTCTCAAAGAACAATTTTTCAAAGAACAATTTCACTCTATTTGAGTGTTTCAGACTGTAAGCTTCAGTCAGATCCCTGCTCCCCACTGCATGCCTACACCTCTGTACTAAGTACTCTGTACTGAGTGCAAAAAACTGCTTTCATTTTCACTCAACGGTGACAGGGTACGTCACATACAGTTCATTAATATAGATCTAACTTGCTATAATGTGACCCAAAATGTCTTTGTTGTGCAAAAACTAGTGTCTGTACAGGGCAAACACCAAAGGGCACCTGACGAGCTGTCGTCTTCCTCTTCTTGTTGTCTCCCCATAACCTTTAATAGATTCACCAAAAACACCAATTATCTACAAGAGAAAAAGAGGTTTGAGTTGTCAGAAGGTATTGTATTCAAACAGGTATTCCAGTATCAGCTCATGCCCCTGCTGTGAATGCATTTTCTTTCAACAAAATGCCCCTTGTTTGGCTGATGTGTCAAGAAAAAGAGTTTATGAAAGAAAACAGTGTAAAGAAAATTCTTTTTTTTTTTTTTACATTTTACATATTAAATGTCTAAAATAAATCCTACTAATATCTTCCATTTGTACTGTCCTCGGAGATGATATTTTAACTTCTCACTGTGTATTTTATACTTTACTGACATTTTGTCTAAAAAGGAAAAAGCATGAAATATTTGCTCATGTCTCCTGAAAGAGAATATATTTCACAGTTTAAAATGCTAATGCACTCCCCTTCACATTAACTACAAAACACTGCTGTTTAAGAAATTATTATTAAAAAAAAAAAGTATAAAACCAGACCAAATTAACCTAGTTTTTAACTTACTTTAAAGTTGTTTAGAAAGGGAGGGTGATTTTTACGGTATAAGTACCAGAGAGAAGTTTTAATTCTACAAATTTGTTCCAAAGCAGTGTTCATTTATATTCCAGTGACAACTTGTCATTTCATTTCTAGATTATCCTTAGTGGCATCTGTGGCAACCTTGTTTGAAAATTATTCCATGCATTTCTTTTTTTTTGCCTGAAGTAGTGGTTTTTAGAATCCAGTTTTAGATTGATCTTCATTTACATCGAGCTATCTTACCTGATTGTGTGATCACATGACTCTTCTCTGTCTCTCTTCCTGTCAGCAACAGGAATGCTAACTGTGTTTTAAATGAAGAGCTTAAACTCCTGGATATTTATGCAGTGCTCTGCAGAATGACAGAACCCGAGCGAAGTGTCACAACAGAATAACTGCGCTGAGGAAAGGCAGCAGGCTAAATATACAGAATTTAAGTGGGGCCAGTTGCCTCTCTGACTGGCAGAACCCCTTAAGTACGACATTTAGTAGGCACTCAGGTATGTCTTTCTGCATGGGAACACAAGCACATGCTCTGAAGGGGCAGACCTTGTCTTTGCATCAGTTGTTGCACTGTGGGACACTCACTTAACTTGGCTTTTAGCAGGCAAATTCACTCACGCTCAGTGCTTGCATTAACTTGTCCTAATATAGGCTCCAATTTGGAGCTGACCCACCTCTGGCCAGCTAAAAGCGTAGATCTGCTGGTGTTTGCCTGCTAAGCACCATGTGGGTCTTCCTGTAGCATTGCTTGTGATATTCCTTGTGCAAACTTTTGACTCAAAGAGAGACAGTAACTACTGAGAAACATAAACTTATGACTAAGGTTCAAAAACCAACCTCAGGGTGAGATCTGCATTTCTCCAAGGCATCTCCATAGATCTTACTTGGACTAGAAGAAGAGAATAGCTCTTTAAAAATCACATAGAACAAACCACCTGTAACAGAAACAACGGCAAATGGAATGAAAACTAATCAAATCAGACGGAATTAATGGCAAACGTCTTCTGATAAAGAATGTAATTTTTCAAAATAACCTGTAACACCAATTCCAACAAGCACCACAATAAAATAGGTAAAGTCTCTTCCAGCTTCTTTCACTGAAATAGAAAACAACACAACAGTTAAAATATCAGATAGTAAGACTTGCATAGCTTTCTTATGTAAATGCTGTTCTATTAGCCTGCAGCTCAAACAACATTTTGGCAGAAAAAAGAATTCCAACAACAGCTTCCATAATGCCTCAACACTAAAAGAACAGACCATGGAACATCTCTTATGCTGTACAGAGCATGTTTATGCTGTATTAAGCCTTATTATTTTCTCTTTTCCTAGCAGACCCAGACCAGCACTTATTGATACTTTTGGTGTACATGAGAGCTAGCTTTTTTAAGAACTAATGAGGTATTTAGCACTTCAGTATTCAAGCTACCATGTAAACCCACAATCATCGCAATCCTTATGCGGAGAAAGAGAGAAGTGAAAACAAAAGCGTAAGCTTCTAAATCGCACACAGTTGAAAATAACTGATTTTATGAATTCTCAATCAAGTGACCAATAAAAAGGAGGGATATTAGATCAAAATATGTTTGTTATTTATTGATACCATTAACTATTTATCTGGTAAGTTTTTATCTATTAGTTTTGATCTAATGTACTAGTAAAAGTGTCAGTATGCACCAAAAAAGGTCATATGAGATTCTCTGTTACAAAATTTTATTTGAAAGCTTGGAAAGAGACTATTGATCCGTTTAAGTCAGCAAGTGTGCCTTTCAGTGAAGTACGAGTTACGGAGGAAACTTTAATAACCATTTTTCCTGCAGTCTTCAAATCAGTTGAGGGTGTTTTTCATAAACTTTTCCAAAGCATGTAGAATTTCTGAGACTAATTTTGTAGTAACCACTTTTCACTGCAGTAAAGGAGACCAGAGTGGCAGCCATCCTATAAAGAAACTAGTATCACACGTAGAGCTCCGACAATTTTTCTGGAGGTAAACTTGTTTTAACAGCATCGAGACAGGTTGTGTGTCATAAGTTTTCCCTTCAAAAAAAGAAAGTGAGAGGCTACTACACCTTAGCCTTGATGTGACTTAAGCAGTCAATCAACAAGCCGTTTGGAAGAAGCCGCATAGTTTCTGTTCTGCTTGTGCAATACGCACACCGCAATGTACCGACCGCGGCAAACACCACGAGGTGAAAAGCAACGCGCATGCTCGTTTTGTGAGAACTGTATGCCCCCCTCCTCGACTGCTGGGTCTCGGGGCTGTAACTCACTTTCCGCCTGCCAGCCCCACCCGGGCACGGCACAGCACTCCCGCTCACGACCGCCTGCGGCCCCTCTTACCCTTCTGGGCCGCCGACAGCAGGGTTTCTTCCTTCCGATCCCTCTGCAGGGACAGGTGCTTGCTGTCCTCGCCGGGCTTTTCCGCTCGCAGCCCCCCCGCTTGCGTCGCGATACGCTGCCGGGGGGCCGG